GGAACAAAATCTACCTCATCAAAGGGTAAACGGAAAAAAAGAGAAAAACGTCGAGCAAGGCGATTACTCTCTACTGAAAAACCATCGATGGGGAAATCCTCTGAAGTGAAAGTGGATTCTATCGCTGGGGAAGCTGCAAGATTAGCTGCTTCCACTCAACTCAAATCAAGAAATGTAAAATCGAAAAAAGCCTCAGATACAACCAAACGGAAACGGGCCCGCAAAAACGACAAACCTCAAAGTCAAGAATGAGGATCACGAGACATCAGCTCTGCATGGACTCTTCCTCTCACCTTCATACCCTGGTCAAATCCCGATACAGTCTTCAATTGTTTGCCCGTCTTCATAATGAAGTGGCAATTTAGCGAGTAGGGAGAACCTGGAACTAGGCGCGCTATGTCACATATGATCAGCCACTTACGGGATGACATGATTCAAGAAAAGTATTGCTTTAACTTCCACTTTCCCCCTGCTTTAATAGAAATTCAGACTGCATAGTGTCTGTAAGATACTGTGATAGACCTGTGGGATTTCATCAGCTGGGTAATGATCTGCATCCTGTGGGATTTGTGGAAGGCTTGAGATATCTCAAGTCTTTAAACAAGCTGTGATTCAGTGTGATCAACCTACACAGTCTTGGTCCAAAGCCTCTTATGCATCCATATTTTTTGGTCATGGGGAGCCTTTGTATTTCAGATGGCAGTGAATTTTTTTGAGAAGCATTGAAAGATGTGAACATTATTGAAGTCAGGAGTCTATGTTACATTAGCAACCATCTTACTAGACTGAGTGTAGCTGTTTGTCATTTTATCCCATTCCTTTCATTTTGTTCCATTATTATGTCATGTGTTGCATCCATTCCTAAAGTGGTGCATGATTGTCAGTGTTAACCTAAGTCTAGAGAAAATCTACCATATAAAGTGTTGCTTGTGATGATCCATAGTTGTTTTCCTCACTCAATCGTCTCTATATCTCCTTTACTTATTGTGTTCCAACCGGTGACTTATTTCTCTCATCACACTGGGAATCCACAGTCTTATGGTGCCTTATACTCATGTTATTGTGATTCTCTTCAGATCACCTGTCCTTGCTTATTGTATTATACATATACATTCTAAGGGCATGTTTGTGCAAGAAAATTCTGCCCGGAAGTTGCATTCTGCAAAATATAAAAGGTGTTTTTTGTTCCATATGTTCCATTTTTGCGTTGTGAAATTTACATCTTGTTGATTCTGATTCAAATATGCCCAAGCAAGCATGTCCTGAACTCATGTGCTCACTATACTATGTATTTGATGCAAACAATAGAAGAGAGAGTTTTGCAAAACTCTATAGGCTGTCTGGCCTTTGTACCCACATCCAACTTTGATCCTTATTTATTGTTTTTCCAATTTCATTTCATGTTTTGTGTTTTTGTGAATTTGTCTCCAGAAAACCTGTGGTAGCTATCCATAAACTTACTGATTTTTCCACCTCCACATGGGCAAGTGAGATGAGCCATACACATCTAAACATATTATGTCCACATGATTAGGATTGCTTTCAGAAATGTTGAATCCAGTTTCAAAATATACCAAAGAATAACAACTTGTATGGCTTTGATCTTATTGGCTCACAGAGATTTGACATCATAATGCCTTATCTTGAATGATGTTAACCATAGAACAATATCATTATTTTATGTTTGTGTTTACACACTTGAAAGACCACTACAGTCAAAGATCTCTAATCCAGTGCACTTGTTGGACAGCATTTGTACCAGAAAGCAGAAGTCACCAGCTTGCAGAGTCAAAAGCCCTGCTGGGAAACCAAATTGGTCAACAGAATTCTCTTATCAGTTAAAAGATGTTAGGGGAGCAGATTTCAAAGAATTGACTGTATTCAGCTTCTAAAAGTCTAGTATCATTTAGAAACCAAGCTTGTGTTTAACAATATGAAAAGAGCCCTGGATAGCACATGGAAACATCCAATTTAAGTCTGTCAATGATCTGTTGATTTTTCCCCTCATAAGACTACCTTTTTGGAGGCCTTGGATACAAATTCACCAGTAATACACAGTAATGTTGAGTTCATCTCACAGTTTCAATACCTGCTACATTGGTAACATGCTTCTTTTCCTTTTTTCCTCCTTGATATGCCACTTGTACAGAATTGATACTTTCATTGGCATATCTCACCAGTATGTTTTTTCACAAATCTGACCATTTTCTTCCAACAGTTCCATAGGAGCCTTCCTGGGCCATGATGAATGGAAGAATACGTGGTAGAACTGTAGGCACACCACACAACTGTCTCGTGAGCTGCTGCTACTTCTTTTGCATGCACGTGTACATCCAGAATGCTGGGCACCCTGATGCATCTGTTTGTTGATCTCAGAGTGTGTCTCTCACCCCCTGTGCAGGTGCAACACACCAATTTTTTTAACACTTCAATTCATGTCTGCATATCCCCTTTCCAATGACATCATGTTGAAAAGAAATTGAACAAAATAACTTAACTTGAAGTGCTCTGGCCATGTGGCCCCCATCATATTGATATCCTTGTAGCACATCAACATACACACCTGGAGGGTTTTGAAACATATACAGTCAAACCCGCACAATTGCATACCGGTGCAACTGCATAATCTGCCATCTTGCATAGATGAGGACTTCCCCCAACTCAGTGTGGGCTAAGAGTCAAGTTTATTGCATAATTATGTCAAAAATGATAATGCATAGTTTAAACTTCAAAAAAACAGGTCTTGAAAACCTACAGTGGGTAAACCTGAGTATGTGTTCCAAGCCAGTCCGCATAGAGTTTTGGGTCCAAAAGCTTTGAGAAAATTTAACCAATTTTTCTGCTTTTTTTGGTGGGAAAGTAAGGTTGCAGGGTGGTGCTAGGTTGCAATTTTTTTATTTTTTTTAAAAAATAAAGTAAATTTGGAGGTTATTTGCCACTGGAGCCAGCATACTCATTAAATTATAGGCCTAGTGCGTCGCTAAGTAGCTAGCTAGGTACTGAATTGAGGCCTAGGTCAGAAAATCCAAAACCCTAAAAGAGTAAAATCATATTTTTGTCTCCAAAACCATATCCCTAGATTCATCAAAGTAATGCATTTTCAATGGTCTGGGTGCCAGTCTCAAACATTCAAATTGAGTGCTTCAATATTGACCCAAAAGGTGAAATTTGATTTTGCAGGGCAGGTTGGAACACATACTTGGGTTTACCCACTATACTTGCATAGCTTTTAGCCCAAATACAGGATAAGAATGCACTTAATGATACATAAACCTTGAGCCCTAAGTCTTAAAGCCCAACCCTAGCCTGTGAAAATGCATAACTTCATGCATTTTGACATAGCCTGTATTTTACCTCACTTTGTATAACCTGTGAGATTCCATAGGCCAGATGTTCCCCCCAAATTATGCAATTGAACAGGTTTGGTTGTATGAAAGTATCTTGGATGGATTCAGACTGAGAATGTTGTTGATAACCCTTTGTGAATGATCATTTGGTGATATGATTGGCAGGATCCTTTGTCAGCAGCTAGGGTCTTTTGAGTTTCAATCAAAAATCCTTTGTGTGTGTAGGTTGATGTGCTACAAGGATAAAGAAATGGGGTCTAGGAGCCTCAGGAATAGTAAGTACTTGCAGGATGATTTGCAAGAAGACACTGTGGCCTTCATTGATCCTGTATGCAGGATGCATGTCAAAGCACTGTAAATCATGGGTTGGGTCAAGGATTGAAACAAAAGAATTGTGTACCTTATTCATCTCTTTCCAATCAATTATTTATCAAATAGGAAGATCACCTGATCTTAGAAGCCTGAGATTGGCAAGGCACTCCGTGTCCACACCAGCCTGTGTTGCATCAAAGCTGGTGCATATCATAATGCATAAATTCATCCTAACTCAACCCAATATATTGGTTCTTCATATCATCAAGTTGAAATACAATCAAAACCTATATCTAGTAGCTTGTGATCTTAGGATTGGTTTTACTACAACTTACTACAAACCTCATGCAAAACATCTCACATTTCTATCAATGATGTAAGAACATTGTGAAAATTAGCCATTACCAAAGCAGACACTGGCCTTTGTTGGCCTTGCCAAAGGATTTTCTACATCTCTGGAAAGTAAGGAATTATTAAACTTTTCAAATCTGCATCCAAGCAATGTACAGCCCTTTTTACTATCAAGATCTGAAGTTACAATTGACTGGCAAGTCTATTGCAGCCTGGTGCAATCATGGTCCAGTATCATAACATAAAGAAAACCTCATTTCCAGGAGTATACAAATATCAAGCTTTTGTCATCTAGCCTTTGAACATCTTGCTATACTAGCCATGTTCAAACCTTACCCAGTTGACACAAAAACCTGGTACGCCCAGTTATGTTTTTAGTGGCAACTTTGTGTATCTATTGACAGCTTCCAACCAAAAATTTGACTAGGTGTACCAGGTTTTTGTGCAACCCAGTCTGGTTTGAAAGATTGAACAATACTCTTAATGGCTACATTGATTTCCAAGTGGAGTAAGTTTCCACACTAAGCCACCAAGAAGATCAAACCTACCCATAAACAGTTCTTTCCCTGGCTCTACCCAACAAATCACCCATTAAATTTACTTACCTCTACCTCCATTAATCAAACTCTCACAACTCTACAATCAAATCTTTAAAAAACAGACCTGAAAGACCAAAAAAATGCCACATGCTTCAAATAAGTATTGTTCATCAAATATAATCACAAAGCAAAAAAAAAATCACAAAACAGAAAACATATATATCATACAACATCTTCATATCAAAAAATAATGAATAAATTCAAACTCAAAGTTCTTAATAAAAATAAAGACAAAAATGTAAATCAACAATGCCACGGGTTGTAAGAGATTCAAAAAAGACGGAGAGAAAAAAACCAAATCAAATCAAAAATTGCTAATGCTTCTTTCATTAGCATTGTGAGATGGATGATAAAATTATGCTTCAGATGAACAGAAATCTGTCAAATTCATCTAACTTTCGGGCCCCTCCCATTGACCGCTGCGGTCTTCAAAGTGATACTATTCACAAAAGTATGTCCATAGTTACGATTTCTTTCAAGAGCCAGGTCTCATGTAAGCATCCTGAAAACACGAATCAGTCAGTCAACTATCCTGGGTCTTGTTCGAAATAAATGAATTTAAATGGGCTAACCTGTTCTTCCGCCAGCATATCTGCCATTCGGTCCTGCTGAGGCGGGCCACTGCTCCACCTTGAACTATGTCTAGTTGACCCACTTGCGCCTGCTGAATTGGCCTCGTGTATCATGGCATCCACAATCTCAGCTCCGAGACTTGCGGCGGCTCTGCGGCTTCTAGTACCTTGCTGTGAAGTTGAGGTTCGCTGCGTGGTATTGGTGGTCTGACGTCTTCTTCTTCGTCTTCTGGGCAGTGTGATGAATTTGGGCAACGGCCTTACATCCAAATCTAGGGAAACGTTGGTGGCAGCTTGTAGGGCTTCGATCAAATCAATCACACCGCGATCATCTCTAGCTTGGAGTAGAAACTGTTCGCCTTCAGCCCGCACCCTCACTACATTCTTTCGTTTCAGGTAATCAGCTGCAAGTCCCGACTCAGCATTTTGTAACGTATAGACTCGTAAAAGACTGTTGTGCTGAGTGGGTACCTTGGCGAGGGCAGCTTCCTTCAAGGAACCTGACGGAGCAGACTCATATCGGCCTTTGTGGAAATGAAGAGGGAGCGGGTTTGAAGGTGTCGATATAGGTTCATGACGAGGAGCAGAGAGGTAAACATCTCCTTCGCCAGATACAGGTTGAGCGTGTGGGTCGGTTTTGTAAATCCGGATCATGGTACCATGCAAGATCACATATTGTCGTTTCCAGGCTCGGTCCTTGGCTTGAATTCCTGGTGAGCGGAATTCCATCTTACGTGGCATCCATCCTTCCAGATGTACCAAACAGGTATAATTCGGTAAGCCTTCTCGACCTTCTTCCTCACGTGGTAAAATCACTTGCTGTACTCCTCCCGGGGTTTGATAGATCTGCTGATAGGGTGGAGGATCTAGTGTGGAAGGCCTCATTTCGTACATTGATTGCCGACGAGCGACGCGACGAAGTGACGGTGAAGAAGTAGAAGGGGCAAGGCCACTGCCAGATTTGGAGGGAGGTAGTGGTGCATCTACAACACTACTGGAGCTGGGGAGCTGAGGAGAGGCGATAGAGACGCGCGAGACACTTGGACGCCTGCTTTCGACGGTCAGTAGTGCACGGACAGTGGTTGAGGTAGGAAGCTGAGTTGTAGTAATGGAAGAACTGAGAGAGAGTATACTTGCAGGAGGAGGAATAGCAAGGGCTTGGAAGTCCAAGACAGACTGGCTTCGACGAGACGCAAGAGAAGGCCGACGAGAGTCGTGTTGACTGACTGGACTCTGGACAATGGATGCGAGGGATGGAGACATCAGAATCATCCTCGCACGATCACCAGGTGTTTGGGTAGGCAGAGACATTGCTAATGGCGAGATTGGTCTGACGTCAAAATATGAAGACGGCGAGGGGATCTGATTTGAACTATTGGGCGAAGTGATTGCATTGCCAACTGAACGAGCAAAAAGAGAGGTTGTTGGAGGTGATCTGCCATCGAAGGTCACCCAGTCTTGAAGTCTGACGGGTAACGTATCCGCAGATGTTGGAACAGGAAAAGAGCTCATAGGCATAGTGATTGTCTGATCTGCTGCCGGGTTTGGGTGCTCCTCATCATCGAATGTATCTTCATCATCATCGGTCTCATCATCATCTTCTTCCGGATCAGGTGTGGCAGCAGGCGCATCATCGCCTGATTCATGATCGGCACTGCTTGATTCAGGGTCCGCACTGGAGTCAGATATGTTGGATAATTGTCTAACACCGGGTATCAGCGTCGCTGGAGAGAGGCAATATGAGTCAAGTCGTGGTAAGGTACGTAGTCTCGAGGGCAGCGGGCGCCGCGGGGGTGGTAGAGTCACAACGGGAAGACTAGCACTACTTGTGCTTTCTCTGAGTTGGTTGCTTGGCGAAGGCGAGGAAGGTGGTTTTGATGAGTGACAAAGGGTTGGGCTTGCAGCTGGTGGAGATGTACGTGAAAAAGAAATGGGACACTGTGTGATGATTGGAGGTGTCCGAGGGGGTGAAGTGGAGATATACTGAATCCTAACGGCAAGGGGTGTTTCTTCTGATGAAGCAATAGACGAGCTAGATGAAGCTGGCTGAAGCAGCGGAGATTGGGGATAGACTACGTGCAATGCGTAACGTGAGAAACCAAATGATTCAGTGTACAGTCCATAGAAATGCCTTGAAGATAAGAACAAGGTTGAGCTCATGAAAAAACGTCTACATACGATTGGAGTGAGATAGAGGATCAGATGGGAGCGCGTCCTCGTCGCGCTTGCTGTTGGAGTCATGAAGCAGGTCATTGGGATTTGACTGGTCAAGTTTGAGAGTAGCCGCTTGATCAGCTTCAGAAGAGTGACCTTGAGATGAGGATGATGAGTGAGATATGATAAAGGTGGATAAGTGCGATTCATTTCCGGTGGCGTGCTGGATATCACGTGAATGTGGATGGTTGATCGGTTGAGATTCAGAAGGAGGCGAAGACAGCGCAGGAGGGTTCGGACTTGGAAGTCGAGAAGTTGGTCTGCTAGATGGAGCCCGAGATGAATCTGGTGAAGAATCTGAAGTAGAGTTCTCTCGAGATAGTAGAGTGAGATCGATTTGAGGAGTAGGTCCAGGTGAGGGTTGCAGTCTTGTTTCAGCATGAAGACTGGACCGAGAGTTATCCCATGGTAAATTGTTATTCGCGGGGTCAGATATCTTGCGATTTGAATTTGATTTGTTGGTAGAGGTTTGTTCAGACGAGTTGCGAGAGCCTTGGTGGTTAAGCTCGTGACTGCGGCCTCTGAGTCTGACTTTGGCCATTGCTGCCCCCAGTTTGGCGAAATCCATACTAGATCTGCGTTCCCGAGTTTGAAAAGCTGGTTTAGGTGGTAATAAAGTTGCTTCGTGAGTAGACTGAGAGGTATTTGAAGTCGAAGTCTGATTCGTAGAATGTCGATGTTGTTGTTGATCGTCAGATTGAGTGAGAGATTTTGATGAAAGGTGAGTGAGATGAGATGGAAGTGGAGGGATTGGTGGAGCAATTGAAGTAGGACTCGGGGTGATAGGATCTGAAGGGGCAGAAGAGGAAGAAGAAACGCGACGACGACGAAAGGGAAAAGAAGGAACACGAGAATGAGAGATGAAAGGCATGTTTTGATTTGGATGAGAATATAAAGTGTTTGCTTGATGATTGAAAGGAGATGAAGGTGGAGTATAAAGGGAAGGATAGTGGTGAAATGGTGAGCTTGATGTCGTTGGAGTGTTGACTGAGATTGGTGGTGATATGACTGAAGTTGATGTGTTAGAGAGTGATGATGAAGATTGAGTTGAAGGAGAATCTAACTGACTTGGAATCTTAGTGGTAATGTTAGTATTAGTGGTACTAGTATTGATAGTCAGATTATTAGTATTATGAAGATGATTATGATGATTAATGAGATGGTGATGATGTGAAAATGAGAAATTCAAAATTAATGGTTGTGGTGGTTGAGGCGAAGAAAAAGTTGTCGAAGCTAGCGATGATTGAAAAATTAAAAAAAAAATTACACCAAAGTTTAAATTTATTCGATGGAGTGAATGGTAAACAAATACAATTGTCAAAGTGGGTGAACACGGTTTTTTGGAAAGCATGATCCGAAATGACATGTCAGTAAAGACCATTAAAGCGAATCTCAATCTAAACCGATTGACAAACTATCCTTTTCAAGATCTTGGAATAGAAGTGAAGAGAGTATGAATCTTGACTTACATGACTCAAGAGTGTTCTTGTTCTTCCTAGTTGGTTTAATCGTCTCGGTCGTGGTGGTCGTTAAATTCGAAGTGATAGCAGGTAAACTAGTCTTGATATTTTGATTTGAAGTTGAAATCTAAGATAAGATAACAATTGACAAATCAAAGGAAATCGAATAAAAGATAAAAGGTAAAGTTCAGTTTGAAATCAAAAACCAATCATAGATATGATAGAGTGTCTTTTAAAATTTAAAGACTATGAGAACATAACCCTAAAATCAGAAAAAAGGAAAGCAGACAATTTGATCGAATTGATCTTAATGAAATAAATCGAAAATACAAATTGAACCTCAAATGGTGACACTCATGATACGATCATCAAGAGGTGATAACATTCAAAAGTTGATGATAAGGTAAAATGAGATAGAACTTCAAATTGGATCACATTCACTGTCACTACAATCTAAGAAATCTCATGAGGAGCTTGGCTATAGAAATTTAAAAACTATCGCTCACCTGTGATTCATGACCAGTAAGTGAAGCTAAAAAAAAGACCAAATCGAATGTCCTTCAGTCAGTTTCTAATCCACAGCCTTTCAATCTTTCTTCAACCGTTGTTTACTACAACTGCAGCTTGTTCATAACAAATCATCATTGACTGGTTATTTTATCCTCAAGTAGAGCTCATCCGAGGATATATACTCTTTTGGTCTCTCTCTACATGCTACAGGAAATCTGCACCGCAATCTTCTGATACGTTGAATTGGACTTCCCCACAAGCCGGCCGCGGCCATCAAAGTATGAAATATCAAATGAACAGCAAAAAAAGAAAAAACCCGAGCCAAGGTGAAGGCAAGCAGCATGGTGATCATCATCATCATTCGATTTCAATTAGTCATCAGATCTGATCAGATTTCCTAATCTCACTCCTCTCTCCTACCTAGGTTCTTATGCCTCCACATCTTGCTTTTGGGAAGCACGAAAAAAAAACATTGATTTTCCCAAAAAGAAGAAAACTTTGATCATCATTTCAAAAAAAAATTGGTTAAAAACTTACCATTTCTTCCATTCATATCGATTGAAGATGATGTTGAAGATGATTCGATTCGATTTGGTCGTGGGGTTGATTTATTCAAACTTAACTTGTTTCTATAATCGAATGTATAATTTTAAAGTATTCAAAGTCACATGTAAACAAAAATCAAACAATCATCATAAATCAAATCTTGCTTCTTTAGAAAACCTTCTGGTTATGATCACAACCTAAAAAGTTCATGATTAATCGCATTAGAAATATACACAAACCTTAGAAGGGAAGGTGAAGGTGCTCTTGTAATTATCGTTCCAAATCTATTGATATCTCGGGTATTATCATCACCCTGGCTCGTCGAGGGTCGTGGTGCAGCAGATGATCTTGGGAAGTTTGTTCGTTTAGGTGATAAGAGGCTATGAACCCTATCTCCAAAACTGTGACGTGATTCGGACTCGGTTGAGCTAATTGGGTCACCAGAGCGGATTGAAGATTGGGTATGGCACATTGAAGTCCTTCTTGAAGTACTTCTCATTGAATGTGTTGCTGACCATGACATTGGTCTGATTTTACGACTCGGTGCAATCGTCAATCTAGGAAGGGTCGCAAACGGAAGACGAGAAGAGGGAGGAGTGGGAGCAGGGCTAGGTGAAGTTCCACAACTGCTTGTGGATTCCATTCGACTTTCTGGAATCGTACCCATAGAACTATGTAATCGATCTGTTGAGAGTCTAGAATGATTGGTTTGATCTGGACTTGAGTTTCTATCTTGAGGAGATGATAAACCATCAGCACCTTCATATCTAACTTTTTGTCGATTCCTATCTGCTTTAGGTGAAATAGAAGATCGTAATCGAGAACGTAAAGAACGTCCAAGTTCGTTTGATCGATTTGGTGATTCAGAAGATGAATGTCTAGCAGCCTGTTGACGATTATCAATCAATCTATATTGATGAGGTTCATAAATATCCGTAGAAAAGAGCCATTCTTTAGGGATTTGAGGTAAATCAGGTGGACTTTCTTCATATCTTGGATCCCAATCTGGTGGTGCGATTTTAGAAGTTTCTGAAAATTCTAAACTAATGTTGGATACAGTACTAGGGATTCTTGTTCCCCCAGAGCTTGTTGAGGCTGGATTCAAATGGGCGGTCATGAGTTTATCGATGGATGAGTCTTAAGAAAGAATTTGTATAGTGAAAATTGGTGAGAAAGTAAAAGTTTTGACGAGGAGGATGAAGGAAGTTGATATTTTGAGAGAATCTGATGATCAAACTCAGTCTGTTCTTTAAGTTTCACTGTATCTGACTGTACAATGAAGCCTTTGCCCTTCACGCTCTTTCACACTTTAGTGCGCTCTATTAAAAAAATATGAGTCGGACCATACGCAGAAATTCATTCACAGAAAAAGTCGAAATCCTAAATGAAGATCAAAATGATATATGTATGTATCGGAAGGTCAGAGTCTGGAAGGTCAGAGTCTGAAAGGTCGAAGTCGTTGAACCCCTTGATGCCAAGAAGAATTCTCTTCAAGTTATTGAATGCGATCCGTTCAAAAATTCAAGGCCGGCCGTGTTACCCTCGCCTGCAAGCTGATCAGACTTTCCAGTCCCCTTTATTTGATCCGAGGACGGACGACAAAGATGTGTTGAAAAACGTAAAGGCCGTGGAACCCCAAATTAGTGTTGACCGCTAGGCTGGCTTTTGTGTCAAATACGTGTACTGTAGAAGGTAAGCAAAGTGAACGTAAACAACCAAAAGGGCGGAGTTGAATAGATAAGTTCAACTTTGAAAGAAAAACAGGAAGGCGTCCTACTATAAGCTGCAGGCTGTCAAGTGTGAAATTGCGGACACGTTGATCAGTTCACGACGATGCTTTGAATGAGTTTGAATGAGAAGAATTGAAACCTTGTTCGATTGTACTAGTCTTGGCAAACAACCCTTGGATAACAATCAGATGCTGGAAACCCCGGAGAGAGTCGCTGTGATCGTGATACATAAATTGATCGTGATCTCAAATAGTGAAGGCAATGAAGTTTAAACTCAGAAGGAAAGTTTTAACATGCCACACAAGTTCACAACGCTTCCTGAAAATCGACTGGGCTTTGGTTTGGTCCCGACTCCCAATCATCAAAACTGATTGTACGATCAATCAAATCTTAGAGGTCTTGGACGTTGACCGGAATTCCGATTCCTTAACTCTCTCGAATTGAGTTCTCCTTAACAAAATTCAATATCGAGTTACAAGACCATGATTTCTACGAGTAGGTGAGAAAGTGGAGAAAAGGATTCAAAAGACCAAGAGTTGAGTCAAGAATCAGAATGGACCCTATCGAATTCACCTGCACTGGTGTGGGTTTCGAAGTTTTCAATTTTGCATCCCAGTGCACAAAAATTGTTTCCGCCCATGCAGCTAATTATCATTGGCGTTGTAGGGAGACTAAACATAGACAATTTAGCACAAGATCAGCTTTGCCTCCTTCAGATAACTTGAGGTCGACGCCTACGAAGAAGTCAGCCTGAGCCCCGACCCGAAAAACGCGGGTAATGGCCATCCCGCACCCCGAACCGATAGACAATGAGCCATCCCGCACCCGAACCGTACCCCGAACCGAAGAAAACCCGGCTCCCAAGACGTACCCCGCGCCCGAACCCGACTACTCGACGGGGCCCAAAAGTATTCGGGGCCCCGACGGGGCGCCCGCGGATGCCCGCGGGCATCCGCGGGCGCCCGGCCCAAAGTCTACCTTCCGACCTCGGAAGTTAGACTTTGATCCTTCTTCAAACCCTCAACCACCCACTCCCCATCGATCCTATGCAACATGGCTCAAACTGAGCCACGTGTTGCATCTCAAGCCTCCACTCGCGCTTCCACCCCAGCTACCTCGAGTCGTCCAGATACCACCGATGCCGACGATGGCGACACCTCATCAGTGGCCACACAAACCGTCAAACGCAAGCGTTCGAGCTACGTTTGGACTCACTTTGTCAAGATCCCAGGTGCTAAAAGAGGAGACGGCTTTAATCGTTGTGAAGTTATCGATCCGAAGACTGGCAAAAGCTGTGGCCTGAAATTGAAAGAAGACTCGACCGGAAGTACCAAGTCGATGAGTAATCACTTGAAGTCTCAACATAAACTATTCGAGGATGGTCCAGCACCAAAGAAGCAACTGAGTGTTATTGGACACTTCAAGCAAAGCACTATAGGTGAACAGGTGAGGTTTTTCATTCGATATCATCACTTCATCTTCACATTATTCAAACTCGTTTCTCTCTTTCTTTACTTTGTACTTACAGGAAACCCTCAACGTGGAGACTCTCAAGACCTTGATCGCCTATTTCCTCGCCGACTGTGATCTTCCATATGCAATTGTCAACCAAAAGTCATTCAAGGACCTCCTTCTACTCATAAACCCTCAAACTAGGGGAATGCTTGTGCAACGACACGCGATAGCTCAGCACTGTACTAAAGTATATACACACTATGAGAAATTCATCAAGTCTACG